TGATCTTTACATTAAGAAGATGTGCCATACTGAGTCTAAAGAAAAAAGACTCAGTATTGATCTTTTAACGCATATGCTTGCTAGCAGAGGAGTTAAGGTTACTCCCAGTCAGATGGAACAGTTTATACAAGAAATATGTCCATGCTTTTCTGAGGAAGGTAAGGTAAATGTAGAGGCATGGGAGAAGGTAGGCCCAAGGAGCCTTATCCTTAACCTCACTGCAGCCTTTCCACCCCGGCAAAGTGCAGGATTGGCAAGCTCTCCCTGGGAATTATGACAAATAATGCCTGCAAACTGCAAGAACAAAAAAGTACATATAATAAAACATTTACATAGTAATATCACTCTAAATTTCTAGACTAATTATATCAATTTATAAAGTAAAAATCATGCATCCAAAGGTAAGTTCAATTAAACTTGTAAAAGAGTGCTTTATAGTTGTATAATAATTCTTTAGAATAAAATAATACTTCTTACCTTCTGGAGTTGGAATGCACCCCAAGAAAATGAAAGGAGGGAAAAAAAGAGCTTTTAATTTCTCTTTATAAAGCAACAATAAAGCCAAAATGTAAACTCTCCCTTCCCCTCCCAGCATTGTCCACAATTTTTCAAATTAGCACCCTCCCCCAGCTCTGCTACACAAAACATTAATTTCTTCTTCAGAATTTACCTTAGGCCAAAATATCACTGTATCTAACAATATACAATTAATTTCAGCTATACAGCCCACACCACTTCAGATAACAGTTGCAGTACTTTATTTGTGTGGCAGAATAAAACTATTACAATAATTTACATTTAAATGTGGGTACAATGAATATTCCCCATTCTTTAATATTCTTCCCATGCATTTCAATTTCCAAGGAGCCATCATAAAGCCATCAGCTATGGACCCTAAGGTTTAGTAGCTTCCTTTTGATGCATAATGGAACTCATTGTGAAGCTCGAGAACAATGAATAGGAATATTTTCTGCCAATATCCAAGCACTGTCTCCGTGTCATTCCTTCTTCGCCGACTCCGTCCACACCTATGGGGAACCCCTGGACCTGCTGGGGTTGGACCCCAGCAATGGAAGGAGTCTGGGTTCCCAAACCAACACAGACAAATGGGACATCTGCTTGGGATTGTGACCAACAAATACACTTCTATTATATTGGAGACAAAATACATTTTGGGTCTATTAGTGCCAGCAGCCTAGACTATTCTAGGGCATCATGTCACCTTCCTAAACATCCTTACCTGGCAGATACTTTATTTGAAGCACTTCAACTCAAAGGAAACTTGGAAAAGGGTGTCGCACAAAACTTCCAATTCCCAAACCCAGTCTAGCACGTTATGTAACAATGATGTCAACTGCTAATGTAGTGGCAAGGAATAATTAGGGAACTTAAAACAAAGGCCATGCTCTTAGAAAATGGGCAAACTATCAAGGTGATAACAGGAAATTCATGATGTATAGAAAGCCACCTCATAGTGCTGCTGTTCACAGTAATGTTCATTTAAGTGGACGCTCTGGGAGGGACTTGTGAACACAGGATATGTTGGCAAAAATTAACCCTGAGGAGCTTTTTCGGGTATATGCAGGAGACATACTTGTATCTGTAAGTCCTGTCATGCTGACCGAAGGAATGCGGGGGGCTATAGGGGAGGAACACAAACCAGGGCTATCCTTCAGAATGTATGGCGGACAGTGTTCTTCTACTCCCTCCTGACATCCCCCCTCTTGTCCAGCAACTTAATGGAATTGAACCTTGAAAGCATCTCTCCCCAGTGATTGCACACCCAGTTCAAGCTTTCCCACATTCCCCACTACATTAGAAGCAACTCTGGTGCCATGGGACCACCTTCCCTGGCTTTAGCAGTGCCATCATCACTGAGGGGAGATACTTAAGACATAAGTGGGAAAAGAAGGGAAAGGAAATGAATCCCTTTGTCTAAAAAGCAAACAAAATTAGAGAAATAGTACTGGAATAACCAAATTAAGAGTACTAAAAACTTTGAAATAACCAGGCTTGGTACTTGGAGGAATTCAGCAGAAGGCTCAAGAGAAAAAGAGGAAACTTTGGGGGAGGGTTGTTAATAATTCAATGATTCTGACAATTGATTCTTACAGAAAAACACCCTGAGATTATGTCATAAACTGACGAGTTTTAGAAACAACTGTATGTTCATTCAACAGAATGGCAGTCCTACTACACTGTGCAGTGTATTCTACTATCTGCTTCTTCAGGGGTTTTCTTTAAATATACAAAATATTTATATTGTTGAACTAGTAACACTTGATGTTCTCTGTGTCTATAAAACTTTGGACCACATAGCTGATTTGTTAGATCTAGTCCACTCCACCTTACAAAAAAAAAAACAGAAAAGATTTTAGGTAGCTTCATTCATTGATGCCTCATCAAAATTTTCTAGGACCATGAACATCCTCCTCATCAGTGTCTTCTGGTTTGGGGTGGTCACAACTGTCACCACCACCCAGTACTTTGGAACACTTTACATTAGTCAATCCATATATTAATGTCCAAGAGCTTAACTTCTCTACTCTTATATAAATCTAACATGGGACATGTTCAATCTGCTCTTAGTGAATTGACTTCTGTGCCTGGTGGAGTATGACTCTCCCCACCCCCTACATATAAAGGGACTTGAGTGGCTCAGGCCTATCCAGGCAGGTGGAGAGGGGAGGCCAAAGGTGAAGTGGGGTCTGCAGAGGCCATAACCCTGCCCTGGCTACCCACTTGCCTCTGAGGGGTTGTTCCCATAAATGAATGAGCTTAATTAGGCACTTTAGTTCTTCAGCTAAAGAACAAGACACAGAATGACTGATTTGACACTGCTCATGGTCTCTTGGAGCACATGCATGCTGTAAGCAGCCTGAGGTTCTCCTTTCCATGAATGTTGAATAATCTCAAAGATGTGCAGGCAGCTTGAGGGGAGAAGCTGGGCTCCTTATGTCTTAAATATCTCCCCTCAGTGATGATAGTGCTGCTAAAGCCAGGGAAGGCAGTCCCATACCAGAGTTGCCACTCATATGGGAAATGTGGGCAAGCTTGAACTGAGTCTGCACTCACTGGGGAGAGATGCTTTCAAGGATCAATTCCATCAAGCTGCAGGACAACAGGGGGGATATTGGGAGGGAGTGGAAGAACACTGTCCACCAGGCATTGTTTCCCTCCCCTAGAGCCCATCATTCCCTGATCAGCCTCAGAGGACTTAGGGATACAAGCAAGTCCCAGCATCACACTGTAGAAACAGCTCCCAAAATGTAAATGCACTTCATTTCCTCAGCCAACTGTGAGTACAATCCCTTCTGCTGCTTGAAAAAACAGCGCTTTTATTCCCAATTACAATGTTTCCAGTTGTGATGTTGAATTTTTAATTTACAATATTACAGAAGGGCATGGCTTTTTCATGCTTACAGAGGCGGCCAGGTTTAAAAGTCTGGGAAATCCTCCTCTGGAATATGTCCTATAAGATACTCCAACCATCAGAAATCACACAGATGAAAGCAAATGCTCGATGTGCCCAGAGGGCTTCAGAGCTCAAGTTGCTCAATTCTATTGGCTACAGAGTCTCCAAGATGGAATGGGAGGCAAAACTAGAGGAAATAATATTTTAAAAGCCTGGCAAGTTCACAGGAGGCTAGCATAGCATTCTATTCTCTGCACTAATAATTTACAAACCAGTGAAGAACAAGTGGTTCTGAATCACCCAAGTCTCAGATAGCAAATGGATGCCCTATTCCAGTCCCCTGGAACCTATTATGACCATGTGGCCTCCAGTGAAGTATAGAAGAGGCTGCTGAGAAGCAACAACAGAAAGTTTCTGGGTTCCCAGACACCTAGCAGCAGCTCCTGGGGTGGGTGGGC